CAGTCATTAGTCCGAAATTATGGGTGCGATACATTGGCGATACGTTTGTGATTTTCAAACGCAACCAGCTACAGACCGCACAAGACCTACTTAACAATGCAATGGAAGGCATTCGTTTTACCATGGAAGAAGAGGTGAAAAACCAAATACCCTTCTTGGACGTGCTGGTTACCAGAACAGTGCAAGGCGAATTACAAACATTAGTTTACAGAAAAGCAACACACACCGACCAAATCCTGAACTTTAACAGCACTCACCCTAAGTGTCACAAAATAAGCTGTATACGGACCCTGTTTCGTAGGATAGAATCGCATTGCAATACTGCGGAGGCAAAGCAAAAGGAAGAAGAACATCTGGTTGTCTTTCATTCACGACGGCTACCCACGCAGTTTCATCCGAAGACACCTAAAGCGAAGGCGCACAACTACCGCACCTACACCAACAACGACGAAACACATCGCCTTGCCCTACATCAAAAACGTGTCCGAAAAGACAGCCAGACTCCTCAAACCGCACAACCTGACGATAGCTCACATACCAACTGCGACTTTGGAAAGAATATTATCTAGACCTAAAGAAAGACTGGAGACACACGAACGCCAAAATGTCGTCTGCAAGATACAATGCGAGAACTGCGACAAAGACTATGTAGGTCAAGCGGGGAGAAAACTATCCGCAAGAATACAAGGGCACAAGCGTGCGTGTCGATACCATCATGTATCTTCACCGATCTCAGCGCACCTCGATGAGGAAGGACGCAACGTTAATTGGGACAAAACAGAAATTCTGGCGCACGGAGGGACAAGAAAAGGAAGGGAATTCCTCAAGGCATGGTTCTCTACGGAGAATTCCCTGAACTTCCGCATTGACCTCGATCCCGTGTACCTACAGCTGAGAAAGCGTGAAACTGGACGGCCGAGTATCGAACAAACAGAGGTCACGGGACACAGGTCGAGGAGGCTAATTTCAAACGCTACGTCCCGACGACACTTCCCGCGAGATTTTCCTCCACGGAGTAGTGCACTGAAGATGCCACCGGGGGAGGTGGTGAAACGTTTGTCATTAAATTACTCAGCTCGGAGAACGAATCAAAATGTTAACGCTTGAGTTGTTGAATTCAATAAGCAAGGGGAAGTCTTTAGACGTGATATTCATGGATTTCAGTAAATGTTCGACAAGGTCAGCCATGAGGTTCTCCTTCACAAACTCAGGATGTGCGGTGTCGGTGGCTCACTGCACCGGTGCATCCGCGACTTTTTTGTTGGACGAAAGTGGAGGGTACCAGTCCACGACCATCTGACTGCTTTCCCTCTACAAGTGGCGTGTGTTGTGTTTCCGTTGACAGTACGAATAACCGATGCAGCCACTCTGGTCGCCATACAGCCACTTTCCAAATCAGAAGACAAACTTCTCTGGCGGGACTTCTATGGAACACTCGGAAGACAGAATGTACAGCCAAAATATTGGGTCGAAATAGATAGTTCATGAGAGCAAAGACCTAATTGAAAGTTCCTGTCTATAGCAACTACTAGATTTGCCAAAACTCGCTTGTTGGCTGAGCAAGTAGTGTGCTTACTGGAGGGCTTCAAGGTAGGTCATTCTGATTGGTCCACCTCAAAACGATGTCATTGGCTTACTTCCATTGATTAGCCAATCGGCTGCGGGCGGCATACAATCAATCTTCTCCGGGCTGTTCCATACAGAGAGAGCTGCTATGGACGGGCTCCGGTAGCGTGCCTCAAGACACTGTGCTGGAGCTCACTCTGTTCCTGATCCACATCAACGATCTACAGCTTCTCCGGTCGCCGTTTGTCTTGTTTGCGGACGACTTGAAGATTTGGAGAGAAATTGACGTAACGAACTGCGCATGCTTTGGGCGCTCAAACGTAGCTTCGGCTCATGGTCTAACGAGATTTTCACGCCTCTTCTCTTCCACCATTAGATCAATCCTAGTGTACGGTTCTCCCGTCTACTTACCGATTGCCCGAGGCGAAACACAGATCGAACAGGTCTAACAACTTGCTACCAGGCTCATCTCGAGTTTACGTCGCTTGGGGTATGAAGGCCGGTACGAGAAACTAGTACTCTACACCTTGTCCTACCGTCAGGTGCGAGTTGACCTCATTATGACGTACCGTATTCTAACTCTCAGTGATTTCCTCATGCTTTGGCGAATGCTGCACTTACGAGGGCCATGCAGCACACTCGGACACAGATACAGATTTGTCGTGCCGAATGTGAAGCGTGTTCCCCACCCACTGCGCTTCGAACGGAGAGTGGTAAATATTTGGAACTGTTTGCCTGAACATATGATGGAGACAACATCTGTGCAGCAGTTCGAAACGTTGTTAGATTCATATTTTACCACTATTCGATTCAGAGAACGATTGCACACTTACGATGACATCTCACATTTGTGAGTCCTGCAATACCATGAGTCAGCTATTTTAAATGTTACAGGAGAACGATAACGATATTCACGGCTGACAAATTTTTAACTTTTTTTCGCCATCTTTCGAAAGCGTTGTACAGAATTCATTTCTACTTGCTCTCTCTCTCCATATATATATATATATATATATATATATATATATATATATATATATATATATATATATATATATAATTAACTGCTATTGGCGTTTGAGTGTTAGATGTCTCTTGCGTTTTGCCAAGATTTGACTCACTGCCACATTTTCATTTATGTGAACATATGTAACCACCAACGTCGTACCATCCGAGGATCCCTGACTTTTTCAGCCTTTTTTAATTTCGCCTCCTGCTAGTCGCCGCCCTTGACGAATAGCATTACCGTGTCCGCAACAGTAATATGCTGTATCGCTTTGGTGATCCGATTTGTTCCATGAATCGACAAATTAAGCTTAGTATGTTTTGTTGGTTCGACCACTTGCTGGTTATGCTGGGTCATGGCACTGACTGCCAAGCGCCTGAGGACAGAATGCAGGTATTCGACGATATAATGGTCATCGCCGTTTTCCAGCTTCTCCATCGGCCAATGAGCGCCCTACTCCTTGGACTGTCCCCTTGAATCCGTCCTCACGTGCAGAAATCGGATGTGAGATCAGACGGCTGAAATTGAATAAGGCCGCTGTGTCAGGTGGACTTCATCCAGCCCTCGTGAAATTCGAGAGACCTGCTCTTTTGGACGATTTACATAACTGACTAGGGAATCTGTGGTAGCAGGAAACTGCCCCAGCAGACTGGAGCTGCTACACTATCGTCCCGATTTTTAAAGGAGGCTCCCGTTCCGTAGGTGGCAGTCTTAGAGGAATCAATTTGATCTCAATTGCATCTAACTTACTTGGTTCTGTCTTCCTCCATAGACTGACTGACATCCATGAAAGCCAGATGCGCGAGCAATAAGTCGGTTTTCGTCGAAATCGAGGCTGTATTAACCACCTCTTCACATTACGTCAATTGTTGATGCACCGCAATGGTTATTGGCGATCTACCATATTCATGTTTCTAGAGGTCAGAGGGGCTTCCATTTGGTTGATCAATGTGCCATTTGGGACTGTCTATCCGGAAATGGTGTGTGCGATAGATATGTAAATGTCATAAAAGCGCTTTACGCGCATAGTTCAGGCAGAGGGAGGGTTTACGGCGAACTTTCGCCACCCCCCAACATCTCCAGTGGTGTGAAACAAGGTTGTCCGCTGTAACCTTTCCTCTTTAATTTCGCCATTGACGAAGTAATGAAAGCAGCATTCGCTGAACGCAACGTGAAATGTGTGGAGCTACTCCTTGGTGATCGACTTCTTGACTTGGAGTATGCCGACGATATTGCGCTCATTTTTGATTGCTCCCGAAGGTGTCAAGTTGCACTAGATAAATTAGCGCTGGCTTTTTCGTTTGGGGCTATGCTTTGCTCCATCAAAATGCAAAGTCCTTCTCCAAAATTGGCAGGGACCCAATCCTGCGTGTACCCTTGGATGTAATCTGCTAGAAGTCGTCCAGACATTTGAGTATCTTAGCAGCTATATTAGCGCCCTTGGGATTGAATACACGATCACGAACCGTATTGCAATTTCTCGAGTCTGTTTTGCTAATCTCCGCCACCTGTGACGCTGGCGTGACACTACTCTCGCTCTGAGGAGCAAAGTTTGCAATGCAGCTCTCCGTTCATCCCCTCTGTACAGCCAGTCGACAGCTACGTTCGACCATCGCTGGCTTCGTACCATGGCTCATATCTGATGGGAGCACAGCCCAAGCAATGAGCGGGTTCGGTATCATAGTGCAAGAAGAGCAAGTGGACCGCTCAATACCGTTATATTACGCACCAGATTCTGATAGCTGGGTCATGTAATGCGCATGCCAACCGACCGACTACCGTGACGTGCGTTGTTTACTCGCCCGGTGTCTGAATAGAAGAAGAGGGGAGGCCAAGCGATGACTCGGTCGATCAGAATGAGGTCTCTCGCTTCGAAGTTGGCGTCGATTGGTGTTTCCCAACTGCCGGGCTGGAGATTGAAGGACAGTGAACACCTTTGGTTAGATACACTTTCTGACATGTCGAAGACTCGACCTCAATGGTGTTTGCTTTGTGGATCTTTCTGTCCCCCTCATATGTGATATTTTGAATTATCTTGCTCTTTTAGCTTTATAGTCTATATTGCTTAATCTATTGTCTTTCTTGCATTGCGACAGATTGGTTGGTGTGTTTCTCACCCTCGGCTAATTTTTATTAATGATGCTGCTGCTGATGAACGGTCATCACCACAGCCCACGTCACCAGCCTCAGGGAATCGATACATGTGTACTGTTGGTGCCTTATTACATTTTTCGTTTGTTTCTCATTTGTCATTTCATTACCGACTACCACATTGACATGCTTTCATTGCTGCTCCGCTTCTTGTACTGTCCGACCGTCACGTGTTACTGCGTATTACTTTTAGTGCGTCGTTCAAAGCTTACTCCTGACTGTGTTCCCTCATTATCTTCCTGCTGGCTTATGCTTCACTGATTGTTTTCCAATTCAGATCAACAAACACGCATATGTGAACGCTGTGGTAGATCATTTACGCGATGCGGTGCCATACAAAAGCACGTCCGTTCTGTGCACTTGAGTAAGTGTCCAGTTACATGTCGGTTTAATTATGACATTATTTTCTGTGATTGTCATTGCTCAACTGGACAAACAACATTGTTTATCTTACCATTGAGATAAGTGGTCAAATTGCTAGGTAACTGGCTTTTTCGGCTTTTGATGGAATGGTTAGGGTCAATTAATTGCTGATGACTTGTTTAAGTAGAAGTTCGTCCCATCAAGATTCAGTCATAAAACCATCACCCTCGCGGGAAAGCACTATACCACCGTCTCATTCTTTACGAAATCGCCAGCAATGTGAGACTACCATGTGCTCTTCACGACAGTAACGTGCAAGATATTGGTTAGCGAACGATCGTATATCGTACCTCGAAACTTAGTTACGTCGGTCGCTACGGTCCCCGGTAGCCCAGCGGTCTTATCCACGGACTGGTACACAGTCAGGTCAGGTGGTTCTTACGTCAAGGTGACGAGATGAAATACGCATTGCAGATAACGTGAGGATCTTAGAAAAATCCATTAGTATCAGCTTCGACTTCTTAAGGAACCACACAGCATATAGCAACGGTCACAACTCCATCGGAATTGATGCTTGGAAGGCTGATCCTAATTCAATAAATGCAGCGTGTAAATTCAAGGGAACTATTTCCTCTACTGTCTATGCAAGGTGAAATGCTTGCCAAGGAAAGACTTACCTCCCAAGGGATTGTAGTTCGTGTGAAACTGCTCAGTTCCCGTAAAGGAGCTAAGCAATCTGGATCTAAGTTTAATTTATGTGTATGCCAGAAACGTACAACCTCGCAAATGGAACGCGAGTTAATGCAAGACATTTGCATACGGCATTCTCTTAAAGTGCCTCTCCACGAGTGGTTACATTTTTGGCAGATACAATGCACACAGCGGATAAGCAACAAGTATCAAGTCACCCTGTCTACCGGTATATTTTGATGGATAGCACCAAGTGATGCCTCCTCCATGTGCAAACACAATTAACTGCCTTGTGCAAGCAACCGCTTAAACCTCGAGATAAAGTGATTACATGATTACAAACAGAGGATGGAGAGCGTGGTGTTGCTACGTTGCACTCCATACTCGTAATTAGATTGATGGATTCGTCACAGCTCAGTATGCTCGCTTATTGGTCATTGGACGTATACAGTGGAATCCGCTCTATTGCCCACTCGGTGTATATTAAATAGCCCACCCCGCTTTATTGCCCAGTTTGTCAAAATACAAATTCTTTTCACATAAATACGCTACATATTCACCGTCTAGTCGCTTATTGCCGGGTCGTCCCACCGCTTATAATTGCCCAGCTGCATGGGCTGTGCTCTTGTCGCTTTGTCAATTTTGCACCCTTGCTCTGGCTATCTTTTGTTGCGATTACCGCACAGCTGGCCAGCCCGATCGAGTCAAGAACAACCAAGATGTCAGCGGCCTGATTGACAGATCCGAAACGGTTGCCTACTTCATTCAATGTACGAGCAAGCTAGATGTACAGATGGCTGTGGGCAAACTATCGGCCATATTCATAACTCAAGAGCTGAGCAAAGTCGAGTATCTTTCCGCTCCACATTTGTCAGTACTCTACTAGTTACTCACAAGTACGTCCAGTAGCAGAAAGGATTTGTCCTTGACAAGAAACTTGGGCGTTTTGGACAAAGGTAAACCTTATCCACCAGGAACTTCACAGTTCAAATTGTCGCGTGATTTACACACTTCTCGTCATACCCTAGCCAGCTTGATTGCCAGCGAAAAGAAACTCTAGCAGAAATCGTCGTACGGCACTGCAAGCTCTCAAAAAAGGAAGTGATGTGGAATGCAGGAAGAAGTTGAAACTACATTGAGAGACTGGATTATATCGGTTCGTTAGCACAACCAAACAGTTACAAGCTCGCTTCTGAAGCAAAATGAAAAAGAATTCGGGGAAAGACTTCGAAAATCCTTTGCTAACACAGAAGGGTGGTTGCAAAGATGGAAGAATAGAAATCAAATTGTGTATAAACTTGCGCATGGTGAAAAGAGTTCCGCGGACAGAGCAGTCTGTGAAAATTGGTCTTTTTTACCGAGCTACTCCAGTGGGCTCTTTGTGTTTTTCTTCCGACAGGCTACACGGATATGTCAGGCACGGATAAAAGAAAACTGGTTTTGATTGGAAAACATAAACCACGATGTTTTAATGGATGGAACGTGGACACACTTCCCATAACTTACGGAGCTAACAACATTGCTTGGAGTACGAAAGAGTTTTTTACCGAGTAGATACTCGAATGGGACAAGAAGCTAGGCCAAACTGGCCGAGAAATCATGTTTATGTTGGATAATTGCACAGCGCATTCACAGGTAAAAGACCTGAAAAGCACTCAGATGTATTTTTTGCCGGCAAACGCGGCCAGCACTCTTCAACCCATAATTCAGATGTGTTTATGTATCTGAAAATCCCGTACAGAAAGAATATTGTGGATCGAATTCTTTATCACATTAAAACAACGTGTTGTCTGGCTCATCATTAGCGTTGGCTGTCAGCACCAGAATTTCTGTGCTCTATGTAATTCAGTTTGTTTCAAAACGTTGTAGACAGTTTACCGATGCAACAATAAAAGCTTACTTTCAGCTTGCTTCAGACGACTTGCATCCGATGCACTTTCTGCTGACGCCGTCATCGTTGAGGCCGAGCTCGGGGCTCGCTTAATCCCAGTTATTAATGCAGAAGAGTTCGTCGCCATTGACAACAATGTGGAATATGCCTCAGATCTGTAACCATTGAAGATGAAATCGTCAGTAAAATTTTAGTGGACTGACTAGAACAGAAAGAAGGCAGCGACTCAGATCATGACGTGCTGGTTGCATTCGTGAGTAACAGCAATCAGCGCTTGTCACATTCAAAAGCAAAGAGCAGTATGAATGCTCTTTATAGCTACGAACTTTTGCATGAGCTAACCAACGATTTCTTGTCCAAATTGGACTTAATCTGTACAAGTGACTGGAGTGGCAGCTCAAAATAATGTACAACTGACGTTGGATTGTTTTCTATGCAAAAGTATACAGTAGCGCCAGTTTCTGTAGCTATCCAGGTAAGATGCTTTATGTTTTAATTTTAAATTTTAAATTCTGAAAAAACATATTTTATGTTCTTTAGTTACAAGTACATATTTTAACGTTCTTAGCACTCTTCAATTCAAGTGATATACTGCACAATAATTCAAAGGTTGTTCCCCTTTTGGAAATAATGCAATATCAGTTAATTGCCCACCTTTCTTCATTGTTCACTTTGCAATTTCCCGATGGTGGGCCATAAAGCGGCTTCGGCTGTATTTGTGCTTGCTTCTGATCGGATACTTTGAGTGCATGGCTTAATTCTTATAACCGTCGTTAAACATTCACAGTGTCCGTACAGAAGTTTAATTCACTGAGTTATTGTTCTGCTTTCACAACTTACCAATGTTACAGCACAACACAGCCCCTACTCACTTCTGGACGAATCTTGCAATTACCCCAACATCGGAATCTTGAGAGGTTTAGAAAATTACTTTCTCGGATTATATATTGGTTCTACCGATTCTCAATACATCTCTGATGGTAAAGCAGAGCATACTTTGATACTCTTGTTGTTGCCTCTCGGTTCCGAAAGTCGGCGTATATCCAACGCCCTGAATCTTCGTGAAAAGCCCACTCTGAAGGGTGGCTTCATCGTTTACAGAAAACATTGACGAGTGCGTATGAACACATAAACATTTCCATACAAATTCATCTAGATAAAGCAAACACCTGGCGAGCATTTGAATAACTTCATATCACGCTTTGTGTATTCCATGCGGAAACGTGATTATGACTGTGTTCACAAGATGAAGCTAAGAGGTTGGATGCTAATGGTGCAGCGAATACATGGGAAGTCCGCATCGCCATCATGCTGCGATTTCAAAATTGCACTTTTCTATACTGTTGCGAAAACAACGCGTTGCTGGCGAGTTGTGTATTAGTCAAACCCACTTCTTGATATCATAGTAGTTCCAACATAGAAACTTAGGTCCACTTGCGCTCCCCGTTCATGTACAATTCTGATTCTTTGTTCCGCTGCGCCACCAACGTATTAATGGAGGTTGATTTGTGCACCACACGTTCCTCGTCCACGGCGATCCTTGCTTTCTCTTACCTTCTTGCATCAGTTCTTTTTCATACATATTACTCATTATTACTGCAACACAACTGGATCGCAACGTCAGATACCGTGCGTGAAGTTGGGGAATCTGCCTCTGTAAAAACCCTTGACTCGAGTAGCGGAAGATGACCTCAGTGAGGGCTGCTCTATAGGGAGAGGTATTGCTAGTACAATTAAACCAGGTGATGACCAACTCTTGTCGACTGAGGGCAGAATAAGGCGGTTCGACAATCTAATACTCACATGCATGCTTTTCAATGCTAGTCTTTTTGTATCGGTACTGGTGGTAAGATACTGCTTTATTACATCTTAGTCGTTTTTATCACCCGTCTATCGATTGCCACATCGATACGTTTCCATTTCTGTTCTGCTTCTAGTACGTCCCAGTCGCCGCGCGTCCGTGCGTGGTATTTGTATTGTTTTTCTTGTGCGTCAATGAATCGTTCTGAGAACACCCGATGAATGTTGGCGCTATACTTCCTAACGATATTTTATCTTACGTTCTATTGATTATCATCAATTTCAGATCTACGAGAACACATATGTAACTCCTGTGGTAGATCGTTTTCGCGATCAGACTATCTGCAGCAACATATGCGTTCCGTTCACGTGAGTAAGTGCACGGGCGGATGCCGGTATTTTTTTCTTCCTCTTTATTTCTTGTCATTGTTATTTCCAGAAGTTCAGCACCTTAGTGGACTGTATCCTTAATCATCTATCTCAAGCTACGCATTGTGCGGTATACCACTTACGGGTTACTCTAACAGATTTACACTTCGTTTGAGCACACAAGTTAGGCAATATCTTTTTCGCAGTCTCCCGAATAAACAACTTATTTATTTGTTTATAAAGGCCCCAGTGTTCTGCGGTGGTAAAACATCTTTCCGCGATCGGAATCGAGAATTCATCGAAATTTCTGGTGCACAAACATTAACTTCCGCGATTTTACCGCGAAAACGAAATAGACTGAAATCAACGCAACTTCGTTTACTATATAAATGTCAGTCATGATCCATGACAGAGGACTTAACTTACAGCCAAACAAGATGCTCGTGCATCAACGTTGTGACGCTTCTCAGACATCTTTTTTTAGGCACTAAAGCTCCGTTCAGCTTCTACTGAATTCACACCAATGCCTAGGTAATGACCGGCCAGTTGTGCAGTTGCTTTCACGCATCCCGCATCAGATGGCCACCGGGCCTTCATATTGTTCTCCTTGAAATACTTCACCACTTTTCCATAGATTAACCATTGGACTGCCAGAGCTGGGGATCTTACCAGGCCTGGAACGTCGGCATTGTTGCATCCATCTCTGGGAAAGGTGATGAGCCGGTTGGGTTGTCCGCGCTCTCTTGAGTTAAATACTCCATGTAGACACACTTCTCTCTTCTCGTAAGACGAAAAGCACTTTTCCTTTTTGCGACGAATTCGTCGACTTCCGGATAGAATTTGCGAATGGTCTTTCCAGTCAAATGGATGTAATGGGCAACATATCTAATGTGAACTGAATCCTCACAAACAGGCTTAATGAATTCTCGGTAGGAAGCTGCCATTTATCTAGCGCCATCAGACACGAAGTCCCTCACACGACTGAAGTTGATATCCATCATTTTCAAAATGCGCAGAATAACTCCTTCAATTGCGATAGAACTGACTATCTCCATATTTACCCTATTGTTGAGGTATGCTCGCAGACTGTCCTTGTTGGACTTCAATGGTGCGCATAGCAGGATGTGCAGTTCCATCTTCCCACGATCATCAGTTGTTTCGTCTGTTATAACGCTGAAAAAGGTATCTCGGAACATCTCTTTCAATATATGTCGAGCTGGGGAATTTTCAGACGTCCGACCCGGCAAGGCTTCCACCATTTCCTACGTGTCTATGAAGACATTTTCTCAACTGGGGGTTATTGGCCTTCTCCATACGAATAATCCCAGATACCATAGCAAGTAGAAAGTCAGATACCACTGTGTCGCGGGCTTCCTGGGCAGCATTCGCAACAACGACTGAACTAACGATGCATGCCTATCGAGCTTTCTTCAGAGCTCGTTCCCACTTGGCAACAAGTTAAGCTGCTTGCTTCTCCTTGTAAGCTTTATTCTGAAAGTGCTTCTAGCTGTGAATATGGTCAACCACGGTTGATTTCGAAATGTATCCACAGTCACTTCACACGAGAAACAATTCAGTAGTTTTTTCTCCGCGTTATCGACTTAGTATTCTTCAGGAAATTTCTTCACTCTGTCCAGGGCACTTTTCCTTTTATAGGCTGTCTCTTTTTCTGAGGTGACATCTGCAAAAGATTAAACCTGTTGGTCACTGAAAGCAACAGCTTCGCTTGGTTATCGAGAAACAGGTAGAAATACCGGGTCAAACGAAAACGAAGCCGAGACTGAAGTATGGTACTATTCGTAGCAAGATGAAAATTCAGTAATGACAAACCTCAACAGTAACTGCTCAGTACTGGCACAACAGCATCTTCATGAAGTACTCAAAGAGGGTACAAATCACCGTTCTCGCCACTATACTGACAGATGACGACGACTTCAGTCTTTCAGTGGATTAACACGGTCGCTTATTGTTGTATTCCGAAAAAGGCAGCAGAACAGAGCAGCACCGGAATGTATGTATGAAAAAACTGTCTGCACATACTCGTGTTACCATTAAATCGACTGACGTTCCAATTGCAATCAATCAAATGCAAGATCACATGGCTGGGCCAACGCGTGCTAAATAAGAGTAGGATAAGCGAATCGAAGGCAAAAACAAAGCCAACTATTTGAACACGACATTTTCTCCAATTCTGTTCGCAAAATATATAAGCACTGCATATCCATGTACGATTTAATTTAATGTCAGCACCCCGAAGAAGTGTCACGTGGTGTTACCCATTACAGCGTATCGGTAAACGGGGCGGCGTATCCGACCGGAACGTCGTAGGTTTGTATTAGTTTGTACCGAGCGCTGTGTTGTAGGTGTGTTCGTCTGTTCAATAGCAAGTTAAGAAAGCGCTGTATGCAGCCGCCTTGCATTCATCTTTGTCTGATCGGCCAACTTGTAAGTCCCTGGCTTGCACATAGATTTCACGCGGGTCGGCGGTCCGAACACACTACCTCCTTTCCGGGAATAGGGTAGTCTCACACGAATAAATGTCCCTTGGGGATACGTTCTCCCCACGCGTCTATATTTAGCCTGGTAAACAGCCCGTCTTTCATATTTCCTGTGATCGGCGGTGTCTTCAGATGTAAAGGCTGCATTTAATCGAGTTCGAATTGTTCGCTCTAGCATTAACTCCGGGGGGTCGCCACCGTCGCAGTATGTGTAATGATTCTGTATAATTCCAATGCAGCTACCGAGGCATCATCCCAGGATTCTCCCAAAAGCCGAAGGACTTGTGGAGATTCTTTTAAAGTGCGATTAAGTCGTTCGACGTGTCCATTCGCTGCAGGATTATAAGGTACAGTTTATCGTATCCACTTATCGTCTTTAGGTCAGCACGCGTATTGTGGTAACGCTTTTAGGTTGCGGAGTTCCTGGATTAATAACCCGTCATTCTTGTATGCCAAAAGGGATTGAAAACGTGTATTCCCATAAATGCATTTTGGGGCTCCCAGATGTTGTGCACGAGGTGGTCTAGAGTCAGCCGGCGATTCAAAATGAATGTTGGTCGATGTTGAAGTGTATGAGGTGTTTGAAAGAATTGTCGATACAGCTGGTGATGTTATCAGCTGACCGGAAGGTTGTGTAGTAAAATGTAAAAGGTACACTACAAGTTCTCGTATGTCTGAGACCATTGCGCCTTAGGAATTCAGCATACTCGTTTCTTCGAAACTGTGGGCCGTTCTCAGTGACCAATTTTTCTGGCAAACCGTACTTTGCAAACAAACAGCGGAGCCACTTTATGACAACGGTTGTAGTTACATCCCCGCATAGAATAACCTCTGGCCATTTGCTATAGAAATAGTTAGCCACTAACACGTTTTGCTTCTTCGGGGGTGCATTGTCAAACGAGCCCATAATGTCGATGTCAATTTTTGTTCATGGCTTCATTGGGTACCCGATAGGTTGGACTGGAGCATTCAGGTGCCTCGCACTCTTATCAGATTATTGGCAGGCGTAACATTCCCGAATAACCGCCTCGACGCTGGAATTCAACTTCGGCCACCAATAGTATTGTCGTATCCGAGCTTTTGTTCGCACAATCCCTGGATGACCTTCATGCGCACATGCAACCACCAGAGGAATAAGGGTTGCAGGGACCACAAACTGCTCGCCTCTAATAATGCAGTTGCTCACAGTAGAAAGCTCGTGCCGTAGGGTATAGTATGGAAGTAACTCAGGTTGGATCTTTGTACGACTGGGCCATGAAGTGGATATGTACTTCCGAAGTTTCGCTAGGACAGGGTCTTTGTCAGTGTGCTCTCGTATCAGGTCAAATGTTATTGTAGGTGTTCCGTCTGAGAGCTGCGATATCATTTTTACCTCCTCTAAGTCCTCGTTTTCCCCTTCGTTGGACAGTGGGAGTCTCGACAGGGCATCTGCAAGTTGGTTAAAGCATCTTGGCACGTATTTTATTTCATAATCATAGTTCAATAAACGTGAGTACCAGCGACTCAAGCGTACCGGCTTTTGGCCTTTGTTACCGCGACTTAGTAGCGTTGTAAGAGCAGAATGATCGGTGCGCAAAGTGAATCGACGTCCGAATAAGTAAAAGTGCCATTTCTCACACGCCCAGACGCATGCGAGGACCTCCTTCTCGCCGGTGGAATAATTTCTTTCAGTATCAGACAAGGTACGTGATGCGTACGCAATCACTTTCTCCTCGCCATCGTGCAGCTGGGACAGAACTGCACCAAGACAACATCTGAAGCCTCTGTTGAAGCAAACATTGGACAGTCTTCATAGAACATCGCTACTATAAAAGTGGATTCAATTATTGCTCCTATGGTCGTGTAGGCATGGCCTTGTTCAGTGTCCCAACGAAACTCCTGCTTTTGACGCGTCAACCTCCGCAACGGCTCGGCAATATTCGCAAAATTCGGTAAATGTCGAAGGTAATAAGGTCATAAACCCAAGTAAGCTTTCATCGGTGTAACATTACATGTTTTTGGATAATCGAGGATGACTCTGCTGTTCTGCACATTAGGCTTAACACCCCAGGTAGAAATAATATGTCCAATAAACTCTACCTCCGTTAGAGCGAATTGGCATTTGCTGGTATTCAGGCAGATATTTAGTTCATTCAGTCGATGCAGCCCATTATGAAGGTTTTTCTGATGTTCGGTGGGGTTACTACAATAGACACAAGTATCATCCATGTACACAACACATCCTTTGAGACCTGATAACGATAGAGTCATGAATTTCTGCCAAGCGGCTAGGGCACTACTAAGGCCATTGTAGCACTTTGTATTGATACAAACCTCTGCGTGAGGATGGCAGACAAAGGTCGGCAATCTGGAGTCAGTGGCATGTGGTAGTATGCACTGCAATATCCAGCTTGAGAAAAGTTTGGCGTTTGAAGCCTAACCATCAACTCGTCGACAG